ATCGCTCTAAACAAATCCCATCACAAAGTGAATACCTGCAAAATGTCCTCAGATTTCTCCCCTTATTATTAGATATTTGGTCCGCATAGTCTTTTTTTTTTAGTATCCACTCTCTCCTACTGCAGTCTTAGAAGTAATATAAAAGTTATCACCTTTGAAGTCCTTCTCCAAATTCAATTTCACATCTATAGAACCTACATTAGCATATAATCGTGTATACGCATCTGATTAGCATACATCAGGGTGGCGATCTCTCACCATGCAGAGCTAATGGGTGGTAATTATGCATTTCCAGGCTCGGATGAGGGCCCATGATTGGGTGAGCGAGGTGGAACAGCCTGTCACTACTGAGACAGTTGGCAGGGAAACGCAAGACCTGCCAGGAGGAGAGGCCTCACCTGGAGAGAACGCAAAGGAGGAGGTGGAGGAAGATGGAGAAGAGCATGGGGAGAAGAAGAAAGGTGTAGAAGAGCAGGGGGTGAAGGGAGGAGAGAAGGAAAAGAAGGAGAAAGACCCCAGATCTGTAGAGGTGAGGTCAACTCAACGTCATGTGACTCCAATCAGCAACAGCGGTCTTTATTCTCAATTTTTTTTCAACCTGCCTCTCCTCCTGCTGTCACAGGCAGAATTGATTTTATACAGATTTTGTGTGTGTGTGTGTGCGTGTGTGTGTTAATCTCCCTCTCTCCAGGCTGTCTACCTGTCTTCAGTCGGTAGTCTGGCTGAAGTCACGGCTCGCAGCATCGAGCAGCTCCACAAGGTGGCAGAGCTCATCCTCCACGGGCAGGAGCTGGAGAAACCAGCCAGAGACCAAGCACACATCCTCACCAGGTGTGTGTGTGTGTCTGTGTGTGTCTGTGTGTGTTTGAGAAATGTGCTAAGACCTGCATTTATCTTCCAGGTTGACATGTGCCATGTGTAAGGAGGTGGAGTGTTTGGCCAAGAGGTTCTCTGATACACTGCTTCATGTTGGGGTAGGTGAGAAGGATTGTGTGTGTGTTTTATATGTGGGTAGTGTTATTCTATTCTATCTAATTGTTAACAACAACAACAACAACAAAAGTACAAAACCAACCATTTATTAATCCGTCTGAATACTTTCTGACTTCTCCGCCCTGTCTCAGCCCTCAAAACCATTTTGTTCTTCTGAAGATGTAAAATGAGAAGTAAAAAGTTACATTCGTTAAAAAGGCTCACTAATTTCATAAAACAACAGAAAATCACTTAATAGTGCATTTGAGACTATTTTCAACTGCAGATTAATACAAACTTCATGCTCTAGTGAGTAATATAGCAGCAGGACGGCGTGTGTGGAATTGACTCAAAATAAACGAGAAATTAAATAATAAAGTTCTGAAGTTTCTGCGTTAAAGTTGCTGTGCTTTTACCCACTCTGGAAAACACCCTCAGGAAGGCTGTGAAACACATTGGTTAAATAAAAAAAAGAGTCTTCCTGTGAGTCAGCGAGTGTTGCCACACTGTTTTTCATATTTCATCCATTTTTACTGGAGTACCTTGTTGGCTGGTGAAGTAGAAACAGCATACTCTTCCGTGGTCATTTAGGGAATTGTCACCCAGTGAAATGGTGTTAAATGTACAGGTATGTGTTTTGAACAAAATGGAGGTCTGTGGCACAGAGGAATAAGCTGCTGTGTATCACACTTGTGATGTTTTTTTCTTTCCCCTGGAATTTGTCGACAATGAAGAAAATTGAAGAAAAGTGGTTTTAGTGTGTGCTTTCCTACCAATCCAGTCAGTGCACTGAGTATGATGATTGATCTTACATCTTTGCTTCTCTGCTGCTTCCTGTCTCTCAGGGTCAGAGGAAAGCAGAGGAGTTGAATCCACTGGTAGACAGTGTGCTGCTAGAGGTGAGATGCACACATTTTTCCTCAGATGATCTTGCTTATAATCAAGTCACAATAAATAAAATAAATAACTGTCAGTTCCAGACAGATGAGTGCTAGAAATGCGTTAATAATAATTGTGACTGTTGCAATAATTGATCATGTTTAATTTGTTCATTTGTTAATGGTGAACGAGGTGAGATGTGCCCAAGATGTTAGATATGTTTAGAAATTTAGAATTTTACATTTAAAAAAAAACTTGCCACAGTATTTTATTTTTGATATTAATGTTTTATGCTTTGTTGTTAGTATTTTCTTATACATTAATAATTTGTTTAGTATTTCAGTTGGAGGGTTGTTACCATATTTGTTTTATCTTTATTTGTGTTCTATTCCATACATTACCACTGTAGTGTGCTCAGATTTCATAATCTGCTCAAAGCAGATTAAGACCATTTTAACTTCGTGTAACTATATTCAACTATACCTCAATATTGTTTTAAATACACATCTGTAACCAATTCTTAAAAAGGTTTAATACATTTTTGTCTATATGGGAGATGTTGACGACGATGATGATGATGATCATCGTCTCTTGTCTGCAGGGCTCCAACAGTACCAACTACATTCAGAATGCATTTCAGCTGCTGCTGCCCGTCCTGCAGATCTCCCACATCCAGAGCCAGCACTGTCGGTCCACCACAGAACCAGCAGCGCAGACACAGCACTAACACATACACACACACATACGCGCGCACTAGCTGCTCACCTGCTCGTCTTAATGTATCTATTGTTGTACAGTAAAGTATAGAGAATAGATTATTCCACATTAAGTGCTTAAATCTACATTAAGTGCCATGGCAACAGGCAGATGTTTGATATATACATAATGTAATCTTGAAGATGACGATTTAACAAATAGATACATGCAGAAATGACCACATGCAGGCTGAAAGTGGGTCTCTTCTACGTTGTATCTCTGAAGGTCATTTTGATTCAGTTTAGCAATTGAACCAAACGGTGTTCGGAGCTCATTCAAGCTCAGCTGTCATTCTGTCTGACAAACAAAGATGTTTCTCTATCATCTCCAAGACCTGAACCAAAAACAGAAAATTACTGAATGTCTGTGTGAAGAGTCTCTACCTTAATGTATATTAAGCTTTCTTTGCATTCCTCATGGTCCATTATTATTTCAAAGAGCATTAACAAACACTAGTGAAGTGTCTATTTTGCTGAAATGTTTTAATCTGGTTTGAAACAAAACGCCAGTATTAGTGAATATACACTTTTTGCTTGTTTTTGTTTTTTCATGTTAAATTATGTGAAGCAACACTACCTTATATTTCACTCTTATACATCTTGAATTGAAAGAAAAATCTGATCTTCATGCTTTGAATTAGAAAAAACTTAGTACTCCTTCGCCCTTCTTGTGTACATTGAAGATGCAATGTAGGTGAATTCATCTCTAATGATCTATTGTTGTGCTGCTACACTTAAAAGGTATTGTTTGACATGTTGGGAAATTTGCTTTCATGGTGAGAGTTAGATGATAAGATTAGTACATCTCTCATGTATGTGAAGTTACAGCCAGCAGCTGGTTAGCATAGCTTAGCACTTAGACTGATAATGGGGAAACTGCTAGGCCACTGAATAACACATTGTTTCTAGTTTGTTTAATCCGTACAAAAAACATGTTGCGATGTTACAGGGTTTTATGTGGAGGAATGAACTGCTTTAGGCCAGGAAATAGCCTGGAAAAAGATGGAAATCTAAACCTGCAATAACTGATGTTTTTGGCCACTTGGGGACATTGGAAACAAGTTAAGAACACATTGCTGATCTTTTAAGTTGATATGGTGAACTTCTTAGCGAGCAGTTGCTAATTTGCACATCCAGCAGTTCCAGAGCAACATTATCATTCATTTGGAGTCTTGTTTCTGGCTACCTGGTGAAGTCCAGTGTTCACTCTCTTTTAGGTATCTACCAACACCTGAGGGAAATATCTGGCTGTTTAGCTGCTAAATGCTTCACTATGTTCACCAGCAGTGTCTGTCTGCTGTTTGGTGCTGAGCAGGTAGTGGATTTCACAGTGGATTTCTGGAGCATTCTCACTTAAAACAACGCTTTGAGAGCAGTGAGAGTGACCCCTTTCATTTATCCACTTAGCTGAAGCTTTTATACATCGCAACATACCATATATGTCAGAGGTTAAGTGTCTTGCTCAGGGACATATTGTCACAGTGGGAATCAAACTCCAGTCACCCACACCAAAGGCACGTGTCTTATCCAAGGCGCCACTGCCAACCATACATTTGTTATTAGAAAAGTGTTTTTTATGGTCGTTTTAAGAAACGTCATATATCAGTATTGTGTTGATTAATGAGCTTCAGAGGTACTGGTAGGATAGACTGGTTCACATAGAGCCAGGCTAGCGGTTTCCCCGTTTCCAGTCTTAATGCTAAGCTAAGCTTACCGGCTGCAGGCACCAACTATTTATTTACCATACAGACATCAATGCTCTCAAAAGAAATTGAGACTATGTCCTAAAATGCTTTACTATTTCTTTAATAACAAAATGACACGTCCCCTCTAGGATTCTAATGTGAACACCTTGGCATTAGCCAAAACATGTAGGCGTTTTTTTTTTTCGTCTTGCCTCCTTTTTTTTTTTTTTGCTGGGATCTATATTTATACACTTCTTGCTTCCCAGAGGTATATATCTCAATCATTTCCTCGTGTTCCTTGACCACCAGCGAGTTTCAGTAGCAATCCCAAGGTGCTCACAGTGCATCTGTTTTTTAACATCCAGAGTTAAATTGGCTCTTAGCATCCAGCCTGCATTTATATAGATCTCTGGAAGTACTCTCTCCCCCTCTTTACTTATGCTTCTTCCCTTTTAGAGATACATAAACACAGGCAAGAGAGATATTTACCAAAGGAAACATTAGTCAGTGCTATTGTAATGTTTTGGCTCCTTTAGCCATATTACAGAGGCGTGAGGCCATTTATCAGCCATGCTTCTGCCTTAGAATGAAAAATGATTTGAAGCAAAGTCATTTATTTAGGGTTTTACTAATATATTAAGATTCTCTTCTAATAAAGTGCCCAAAGACTGTTTGAGATGTTGAAAATAAAAACGCTTTAACCATCTTCATGTGTCTCAGATGTTTTTATTTTCACCATAAAGGTAGCTGGCAATTGTAGCGTTCCTTTTTTATTTTTCTCCAGTGAACTTTAGCTCATCTGCGCTCTTATGGCTGCTCCTCTGTCACCACGCCTGCTCCTCTGTGAGGGAGGAGGTGGAAGGATGGCTACGATGATGCAGGTTTGCTAAAAATAGATGAGATAAAAAATTTAATAAACAGACTGGAGTAAAGAGGACAGTGGAACAAGGGATCTTAACTTTCAGCATGAGGTATATTACCTGTTATCTTATAAGTATAAATTACAGTAAGACCCTGATCAGATAGGCCTACAGTATCATGTAAAAGTGAGGATGGATGGATGTACTGTATAGAAAGTATTGGCGGAAAGTAATTAAGTACATTTAGTGTTTATTTACTCAAGTAGTGTACTTAAATACTGTTTAAGGTACTTGAGTATTTAAATTTTCTGCTACTTTCTACGTCTACTCCACTACAATGCACATCCAAATATTGTACTTTTTTGCTCCACTGTGTATATTTGATAACTCAAGTTACTTTGTAGATTCATATGAATACAAAATTTAATCAGCAAATAAATGATGATGTAATATCATGTACTATCATATAATGAAATGTTAGCCTAACCGTTACCAGCTTCTATAATGTACACATCAATGCACAAAGAATTCTAATCGAATATATATATATATATAATACACATTTTTTCTGAAATGGGCCAGTCTGCATAACAAACATGTTTTCTTTTGGTACTTTAAGTATACTCTGATGCTAATACTTTGTACTTTTACTTGACTTAGATGTTACATGACTTTAACATAATATTTCTACACTGGGGTATTGTTACTTTTACTTAACAAAAAGATCTGAGGATTTCTTCTGGCACTGTTCTAATAGTGAGTTTACCTGTATAGCAGTTATCAACAGTTCCATCCAGCAGAGTTTCTATATCGTCTGAAAAGTGTTTGTGAAGACTATTAACACACAAACTCAAAGAAAGAATTCTATGTGAATGTGGTCTCTTAAAGTGTGTGCATATGATTCTCTACCTTGAGTGTCAACTTCTTGAATGGGTGACAGTCCTGTCCATTAAAAAAAAAAAAAACTATCAAAAAGAACTGAAACAACAGATAATCAAATGATTTTCGAACCATGTGTATGCATTTAGGAACTGACCTGACCAGGGCCGGGACCCATAGGAGTGAAGGATCGTCTCTATTAGATAATAAGAAGTCATTAGAATTTGAATGTACTACATTTCAAAATAAGGATGTGGACCTTTTGTATGGAGCATTATTTTGTAATATACCAAAGTCAGTTACCTTTAGGAATGATGCTTTCTGTGTGCTTCTCACCGTCTAGTTGAAACATACAGCATATCAGACATTTATTATTGCTCATTTTATAAAGAGGTGTTTGGTCCTCGTGTGAAAAATGGGTCTGAGGAATCATTGATGTGGTTTTCACACATGACTCTGATGCCTGCTGTGACATTATGACATTATGACACAACAATTCAATACAGCTTATCTATATAATTTTCTTCTGTGTTATCTTATTTGTTGATGAACAATCAGATTGTTTCTGTGTACTTAATTAAAAGTATTTGGAATTTAATTGAATCTTACAACATTTCAAGTTAACTATAAGATGAACTCTTGACCACTGGTATTCAGAGATAGAAGTGTGTATCTGGGTTTATGAGGTTTCTGCACACACCATGTCAGAAAGGGAAATTAGAGAAAATTTGAAGTAGAGTTGAAAGTTGTATTTAAAAATTTAAAATTCATAACACAATTTCAGAGGACACAAATTAAAATTTACCGTTCAAATGCTGGCCAGTGAAGTGGTAAACAACAGGGCGCACCTTGGGCTTTTCTAAGGACATGAAGAGACATTTTTGGGTCAACTTTGAAAGATCAAACTACACTGTCTATGTGTGTGTGTCTCTTACTCAACAAGCATCTCCCACTGTAGATTTGTCTGAGCAGAGTTGTGACTACAGCCAGCAACACCACAAACAGCAGAGCCAGCCAGAGCACCCTGAACACACACCGCCACTCATCTGCAGGATAGAGAGGGATTAAATCAGAAACAAACTTTCAGAGGTCCAGGCCTGCAAAAACTATTATTTTCTTCATCCATTTATCTGTTCATTATGTTTTTGATTGCACATAAACAATGGCAGAAAGATGTCCATCATAATTAACCAGAGTTCAAGTTGAGCTTGAGAATTCATCAAATAGTTTGTTTTGCCCAAAACCTTAAAATATTTAATTTACAATAATAAAAAACAGAAGAGGTGGAAAATCCTCACATTCAAGAAGCCGAATGTTTGGCATTAATGCTTGATAACAGTCACAGTTTGCTCCTCAGTCCCTCTCTTCAGCCACACTTTCATACCCACCCTCTGCACTGTCCCTGTCCCTAACTCCCCAAACCTGCCCTCCTCAAGCTGTCTACCACACGCCCTTGGACTTTCCCAACTTTCCCAACTACACGCCTGTTCTCACTTATCTCATCTCACCTGCAGTTATTTGGCCAACTCCACCCACTCTTCACCTCATCACTCACCATTTATACCAGTTCACTTGCTTTGTTCATTTCCTGTTATCTTAGTTAGTTTTTGGTTGGTCTTCTTTCATTTTTGCTATGTGGCCCTGTATCTGCCTTCCTGCCTGTCTACCAACACCTGTAAATGCATTCATTTATGGACAATAAATCATTGAACTGCACAAGTGTGCCTGTTATTTCTGCATATAGGTCCAGGGCTTGCATCCCTGCCTACTAGCAACTGGCCTTCACTCCAGCCTACTAGCTGCTGTTCTTTGGCCTGCGAGCCTTCAGCCAGCTAGCACCAAGCATGCTAGCCTTCTGTTCCACCTACAACTCATTCCCTCATCAGTTAGTCACTATTTAAACCAGTTCACATCCTTTGTTCATTGCCAATTAGCCTAGCTGCTGTGGCCTAGTTGCCTTACTGTTTTTTGGTTTTGTGTTTTTGTGACCTTTGTGACCTGTGTCTGCCTACCTGTACCTGCCTGAAAGCTCATTCATTTATGGGCAAAAAGTCACTGCACAAGTTTGCTTTTGCGTCCAATCCCCTTTTGTCCTGCATAACTCACCGTAACAATAACTGGCTTTAACAATTTGTTAACTTTCAGTTGTTCTAATCATTTCAGTTAGAAGTCTTATCAAACAAATTCTCTTCTAAAAGATAGAGATACTGACTCATGGATGTAAAAGAAAACAAACAGGGAATCCAGTCAGAGAAACGTATGCCAGAGACTAATAACATGAGGTAAAGATGGAAAGGGAGAGCATGGAAAGGTTTTGTGGATACTGGGCAGACAAATGAGTGAGATTAAATCCAACTTTCAACACACACTGGAAAATATGACTTAGTGTAGCTTTAAGCTTTGGAGTGTTGGAGAGCCGAATAGAAAAGGAAGCAAGTCTTTGAAAATACAGTAGATTAAGATGTACTCTCGGTTCATACAGTACAGAGAGAGAAGTCACAAAGCTGAGGTTGGAGTCAAGAGAAAGCAAATTGAGGGAAATTCATTGTAGACTCCATTGTAGACTGAGAGAGAAGACGGGTTTGAATGAGATTCAATTTCACCTCAAATCAAAAGCAATTTTTTTGTCTTTTATTGTCTCCTCCTTTCCAATCTTAAAGTGAAGCCACACTAACCACATGGGGAACAAAGAAGCACTGCTATCTCAGCCTGACACCAACCTTTCTGTGGCCGTTTCCATGGCAGCTTTCCCTTTTCTGTTGCAGTCAAAACTGTTTGATTGGCGAGCCAAAGGAGACAGCGGCTTTGATTGGCTGACTCCGAGGTGGGTGAGGCAGGGAAACAGCAGTAAAATGCTTTCCTCTGACCTTCATCATCCTTATTCTTTTCCTCCTCTTCATCTTCCTCTTCCTCCTCCTCCTCCTCGGGTAGGTTGAGGAGTAAAGAGCTCTGATTACTGCCACCATACAGGGTGAGATTCAGGGTCTTTGCATCTCTGAACTGAAGCTCCACTGACACCTTGAAATGTACCTTTAAAGCTGTGAATGGATGAATAGATGAAAGCATTGATAGATAAGTCCCATAGAATGTTTGCCATGTTCACCATCTTAGTTCAGTGTGTTAGCATGCTAACATTTGCTAATTGTCACAAGGGACCATACTCAAATAGCTAGAGGCTAAAAAACCTACAACTCAAATATATTAAGTTGAAACTGAAGTTTTTAGTGACAACCTGAAAATGACATGAGCAGCGCAATATATGACATGTATCTGACACATTAAATTAACAGCTTCTTACTCCAGTTCTCCTGATTCAGAACTATGAAGCTCATCATATTAAAATGTTGATGTGATACACACATACAATCTTTGGCTGAATACAGACATCAGCTACAGAGAGCATGTTAACCTGAGAACCAACAAACTTTTCATTTTAGCTGTTACGTTAAAGTTAGGGTGGGCAATGTAGTAGAAGCTGGCGAGAGTGCTAGATTTTGAAAGTATCCAAATGTAAATATCCCACCCCGTCTCCTCAGGCCTCACTCCAAAGCCACTCCCCTCCCAAAACACATTTTCATGAGAAATGACTGCACAGGCAGAGTGCATGCAGGTAGGCATGCAGAGAGGCAGGTAATGGTCAGCCAATCATTTGCTTATTACAATCCCGCAACAGCCACATTTTGGTCTCAGAGAATTTAACCTGTTGATTGCTGTAAAGAGAATTTTGACAAATGCAGCAAAAAATTCTCCCGAAATACAATTCCTACCCCAGCTTTGATCAGCCACAGCTGATGTAATCTGTATCTCTATTGGCAAATGGGAATTACATTAGACATTTCACTAAAAAACAGAAATATCAACCTCATGGGGACGCTATAGTGAAAGTCAGGAGGTCATTTAAGTTAGCTGGATTCATCCTCTGGGAACCATGAATGTCTGAATCATTTCATGGCAATCTATCCAATAGTTGTTGAGATATTTAAGTCTTGACCAAAGTGGTAGACCCACTGTTATCCCTAGAGCTACATCGATGATTTAAAACCACAAAAGCTTATCTTTAAAAACTGTGCACTACCTGAAGATGAGCTGTTGCTATGTAATTCTGCCATGTCCATATCTGTTTCACACATGAACCAGCTCTTTTCTGGGTCTTCACGGTCTCTCCAGGAGTCAGACGCAGGATCTGTCATGTTGCTTTGATTCTCTTGTGCGCAGGCCTCCTCCCACTTTTCACGTTCTGGAACCTGTGAAGGGTCACACATGTCCTTTCCCCTAATTTCAGTATCCCCAGTCTTCCCATTTCCCCTCACCTGATTCCTTCGCTCACAGGGTCGGTAGGGCAGACAGAGGAAGCTAACTTTTGATGCTGAAAGGAGAAAGAAAGCGAACAACATTTAATTCAGAACGATTTCTCAACGGGAGTAGGCTTAGACTGGGGGGAAAAAGCAAAATGCTCTGAAGTCAGAAATCAGAGCAAGATCTCTCAAAGGAAGCTGTTGCCTCTAGTTTTTATCTGACAGACAAAGACAGACAGAGACACAGACAAAGAGCAATAGATTGAAGGCGAACACGTGCAGCAGTACAAAGGCTGAAGCACGTTGCTCTCAAAAGAAACAAGCTGTTCAAGGCAACACAACATGGAAACATTTTCAAAGCAGTCAGCCAGTGTTTTATGGAGCTATGTTTGGGAGAGAGTTTTTAGCTCAGAAAGACAGAAAGATATAGTTTGAATCAGAGTGAGCCCATATAAGGAAGAAACAGGACAAAGTGACTCAACAAAATAAAGTTAACTTCTTTTAAAGGGCGACTTTTGAAAACAAAACTGAGCCTAAGTTCTTCCTTTTTGATGCTTTAAAAGGTTGTGAACTGATAGCAAAGCGTTTGGAAAAACATACACAAGCATACAGTCACACACACACACACACACACACATCGCACACAGACAGACAGAGTGGATAAACATCCATCTGAAGCCATATGGATGACCCACCTCTGTGCAGTGTGAAGAATTCTGGGAGGCAGATGATCAAGGCGATGATCAGGAGGATGAGAAGTTTAGCCAGTGCTACTCTTGTCATGGTTGCACCATAAGATCACACACACGCACTTCTTCACGCCAACACAGGCATGACTTGTGGCTCGTGGTATCTGCTTCCTTGTCTTGAAACAAAGACATTCATTCACACCCTGTCTCTGACCATCAGAGTAGCCTTTGGTAGAGGGTTAAAACGCCCAAACGATATTGCTCATAATTCATGTAGAGGCAGACAACAACGCAACGACACGAAGCAACTTCACTTCCTATTACACTTCCTGTCATTTTCCGAGAACGACTGAGAAATGGAGAGGTGCCAAAACAACAAAGAGTTTCTATCAGCAGTATGTAAGTAGAAATGTGTCTGGGTGTGGATTCGTGTGGGAGATGGTGCAAGGGTGCCCACTCTTTACTCTCTACAGAAGAGATGAATATACTTTATTAGACTTTATTTATTTTTTAAGTCCTGTGTAAACAACAGTACAGAGATAGATGACCAACCGTGTGTAGTCTATGTGTGTGCGTGTGCGCGTGTGTGTGTGTGTGTGTGTGGTATGTACATGTAAAGATAAATTTTTGTAAAACTGTAACTCTATGCTAGACTGTACACTGTTTCTGTTGCTGGTGTTAAAATTAGGAGAATAACTCAAGTCTAACCCGTTACTAATAATTGTTAGTTAATATCTAACCTCATATGTGATCATTATGACTTTGTATCTCATAATTAGATACAAGATAATACACATCTAAGTCTTGATTATCAAATACTACATTATAATTTTGAGATAAGATAATAATCATTCAGTTTCTCATAATTATGACTTTGTACTTTATAATTATGATATACCAACTCATTATTTAAAATGACTCCTCATTATAATGAAATACTAAATCATAGATTTCAGTTACTAAGTAATAAGTACAAAATACTGCATTATAGTTGCTCATAATTATGAAAAACTACTTCATAATTATGAGTTAGTATCAGATAATTATTAGGTACTATGAGTTTCCACAGACCTCAGGCCGGCTGCCAGTCCTTTAATCAACAATGCCACACAGTAGAGAACTGAAAGGTGTTTCTATTCCTGCTGTAGAAGAAATGACCTTTCTGTTTATCTTTTTTATTTCACTATATTCTGAAAAAATATATTTTTTTCCTTTGTACTGTCTGACTTGATCTCTGTTGGGTGTTTAGTGTAGCTCCAATTTTACGGTTGGGTTCCTGAGAGCCACTTATCTTGGCAGGCACATACACACACACAAACACAGCATACACACACACACACACACACACACACACACACACAAACACACACAAACACAGCATCCACACACACACACACAAACACAGCATCCACACACACACACACACACAAATGATCAGACAGACCCACACATACTCAAACACACAAACACAGTGATGAGCATGTCTGGCAGGTGGAGCGTTATCTCCACTCCACAGCGGCTTGCCTCTCTCAGGGCTTAGTCGGCAGCTTAGAATGGGACGGAAGCAGCCAAAACGAAATAAAATCACTTCCTCTCCTTTTATGTCCGATCAAAGCTGCTCGACACTTGGAGCATTTCCAAATATTTTGAGTGTAAGGCTGAAATGTATTTACCACCATGTCACCTGTGATTGTTCAGAGTTGTGGTATATACAATGGCAGAGTGTAAGGAGAGGGTGAAGTGAGGAGATGCTTCTGTCAATGTCTACCGTGCTGAAGTTTCCTTGAGCAAGACACCCCCTCCTAATGTATAGCTCAGTGGAAGCTGTTTGGTATTCTGACGCTGCATTCAAGCAAAGAAAAAAATTATTTATAGAGATCAAAACCTCCCTCCTTCTTGAAAGATTAATATAACCTTTTAATCAAATTGACCACATTTGAATGTCACTTTATGTTTGGGGATGAAAACCTTGAGTTAAATATATAAAAAACTATGTATTTTATGTTCAGTATGTTATCTCACAACCTTACACAGCCATTGCAAGATGAGAGTTAGACGATCACAGAGGGAGGTGAAACACTGATTAAACCGTTGTGACAGAGTGAAATTGAGTGTTCCACATTTTTCAGGGGACCAGCTGGAAACATCCTCAGGATCCTCGAGCCTCCTTGAAACCTGGTTAGAGAACCACAGGTATGGACTTGCTCTCCTTTATTTTCTGCTAAGTTAACTGACAATCCAGCCTAAAGAGAAAAACTAAAACCTCCTTTTAGTTCCGCACAGCATGAGCCGAACTTTCCACCTGGCAGTATGCCAGAGAGCTAATAAATCATTCTGGGTTGATTGGGTGGAAGCTCCAGCAGATGGACTCATGTCAATTTGAGACCTGACTGAAGTTAGTTGGGTCCTATAAGAGGAAGGCAAGTGTTAAAACGCTCTGGGTCCATTTTATTGCTTTTCCAGCAGGAGAGTCTAAGTGTGGGAAGTGGCTTGCCAGAGTTGGTGTGTCTGCTGGTCCATTCAGAGAAGGATATATTATATAAGTAGTGGCCAGATTGCTGTTAAATTCTGTAAGGATGGATTTTTGTGACCCCTTGACCCTTTATCTAAAACCACCACCAGAGTCGATTTCCCCTTGAATAACACTTTGGCCCTAAACTAGGTATCTCCAAAGTAATAAGTAATAATTTGACATTATGGCTTATTCAATTTCTTGGAGAGAGTAAGAAAATTGATACCACTTTCATGTCTGCACACTAAATATACAAGTGGAGATAAGAGGTGATTAGAGTAAGATATAGTCCTACACAGAGCCCCCTGACTCCCTTTCCAAAATGTCAAACTATTCCTTTAAATTTTCTGATCTACACAAAATCTACAGCATTTTTCCTTTAAAGTAAAGCTCCCAAGATAAATCTTTTGATTTTAATGACACCATGGCGCAGCCCTCAGAACAAACTTCCTCAAGAATGATGCTAAGAATATCATTATGTTCCTTCGGTACTATACCTTTATGGGCTGTAGCTCTGCTGCTTCCAGAGATCACTGGCAGATCTTACTTACTAGTCCAACAGACAGAATTCCTGCTTGGTGTCTGTCTTGCAGTCTTTTATTTTACAAAGCTCTCACCAACGTCCTCTTTGGTTTCTTTGTCTCTGCCAGTAGCTAATACTATGTCCATAGAGGCTGCTGAGCCCGGTTACATTGCCCACTTGCTGGGCTCCGGCACGACACTGCGCCAGTCTCCACCAGCAACAGTATAATGTTGCTTGAAAACTGTGTAGAAAGCTAGCCAACAAAGCTAGACAGTAACCGACGCACTTACAGTAAAATTACCAACGTCCGAGTGTGTTATCTAGTAAGTTTGCTAACATCAACTTGAGATACATAGCTTGCGACTAAACCTCTGACTGTGAAACCACACACAACAATCACACTGAGAATACTCAGCTAGCTTCTTCCAAAGAACTTACAGTGTACAGTGGGTACGGAAAGTATTCAGACCCCTTTAAATTTTTCACTCTTTGTTTCATTGCAGCCATTTTCCAAAAATCAAAAAAGTTCATTTTATTTCTCAGTAATATACACTCAGCACCCCATCTTGACAGAAAAAAACAGAAATGTAGAAATTTTTGCAAATTTATTAAAAAAAGAAAAACTGAAATATCACATGGTCATAAGTATTCAGACCCTTTGCTCAGTATTTAGTAGAAGCACCCTTTTGATCTAATACAGCCATGAGTCGTTTTGGGAAAGATGCAACAAGTTTTTCACATCTGGATTTGGGTATCCTGCCATTCCTCCTTGCAGATCCTCTCCAGTTCTGTCAGGTTGGATGGTAAACGTTGGTGGACAGCCATTTTCAGGTCTCTCCAGAGATGCTCAATTGGGTTTAAGTCAGGGCTCTGGCTCCATTCAAGAAACCAAAAACACTCTAAGAAACCTAAAACCTTCCTAAAACAAAAAGCTCTAAACTAGGCTTCTAATTCCAAAAACAGGAGAAAAAAAAAGGATGCAAACAAAATGGGCTTCCCACTCCTACTTAACTGCTAGTACCTGAACAAAGCTACAACAAAGAAAATCTGTATATAACAAACAAAATGGCTAAAGCCAACAAAACAAAGTTGTCAACGACAATAATTGGAGTTACCAAGTTAAGCTGTTCCAAGACCAATGTGTTCACTACATAGATTCACTTACAAAGTCTAATATGATCACAACAGTTCTCTAGTCACAATGAACACAGACCATACACACAGTACCTGGCTCTTCTTCTTCTTCTTCTTCTTCTTCTTCTTCTGGCTTTCCAGCAGACTAGATGCCTTACGGCATATTGCTGCCTCTCACAGTTCAGTCTCAGTATCGTTTTATGGCATCACCATTCTCAGAGACGTAATCCTGTTGCAGAAAGTCCATGACTGCTTCCACTATCCTCGATTGGTTCTCATGAGGATTCAAAATGTCTCTCATAGCGCAGAGTATAGTTGATCTCTTTACCTTTTGTACTGTTGACATTCCATAACACATGTTTAGCAGTCTGTTGTTGATTGCAGGTTCTGCAGAGTCCATCCTCATGTTTGCCCATCTTTGCCAGATCCCATGCAAGTCCACAGTGTCCCAGTGTTAGTCTTGTCATAATTACAGAATGTCTTCTGGTTTCACCCAAGTAACACTGCTCTGTCTTTACTTTTTTTTGTATTGAATAGTAGTGATGACCCCTTGTTTCATTTTCCCACTGCCTCTGCCACACTGCTGTAATGTTTTCCTTAATGACAGACCTACATTCAGATACCCCAATACAAACTATAGCCTATGTCTCTTTTCAAAGCCATTTTTGGTGCCCTGTCTGCCACCTCATTCCCTTCCACCCCAACATGTGCAGGCACCCAAAGAAATCCCACTGACCCTCCAGCCTGTTCGATTCTATGCAACAGAACCATCAGCTCTACAAACAAGTCTGGCCGTGCTCCCCAATTGCTTCCTCTCAGAGTTTTTATCACTGAAGCCGAATCTGAGCATAATACTGCTCTCCTTGGTTGAACATCCTCCACCCACTGTAGTGCCCATATAATAGCTAGAAGTTCTGTTGTATACACCAATACCCCCTCAGACAGCCGCTTGAGCTTTACAATTTCATATTGTGGGGTATAAAAAGCAAAACCCGACTTCCGAGTTTGTGGATCTTGGCATCCATCTGTATAAATCTAAAGATAAGACCCCCAATGATTTTCCAGTCTTTGTTTTACCATATCGGAATACACAGTGCCTTCATGATG